TTTTTTTTGAGCAGGGTCTTGCTGTCTCCCAGGCTAGAGTGCAGTGGGGTCATCACAGGTCACTGCAACCTCAAATTCCTGGGCTTAAGTGATTGCAATTTTCTTGCCTAAGCCTCCTGGGACTACAGGTGCATGCCACCACATCCGGCTAATTTTTGCTATTTTTTGTAGAGACAGGGACTCGCACTCCTAGCCTCAAGCAAACCTCCCACCCTGGCCCCCCAAAGTGCTAGGATTACAAGTTTGGGTCACTGGACCCCGCCTAGAACTTTAATCTCTTACAGAATATATGATTTAAGTATCAGTCCTTCTGAAATACTTCCTTAGAAATGATGGTTTGCATGATCATGGCAGTGATTATGGTGTGAGTAGCTGGTCTCTCCCTCTTTTGTTGTCGTGTCATGTCTCCAATCAATCTAATGCCAGGCCTTATGGCTAGAGAAAGTGACTTATGAGGGTCAGCCAGATAATCTAAGAATTATCTATTTTCTTCTCTCAATGCTGCATACAGTGAGGTATAACAGTTACCTTTCAGGTATTTGCTTGACTCACAGTTTGCCTTTCTGCAAAGAACTGCATAACTGACATTTGTATTCACTTCCACTTTTTTATGGGTTTATTTATCACGAAATAATAATATAACTCTAGGCCCTTGGAGAAGCTCAAATTATCTATGAAGACATCAAAGTATGAGGAAAGTTTGTTTTAATTTTAGCTCAGTATAAAAGTATTTATTTTCATTGAAAACAGCTGGCCATTGATGTGTTTTTATTCACAATATCCTATTTTTCCATGGCTGGCTGGTAATACAAAATCAGTAAATGATGCAAAGAAAATACATATTTAATGTTTCATATTTACTTCTCACTAAGTAATCATTCACAGAACTAGGATCCCAACTATGAGAGAGAGATCAGCCTCCCAATTTTTCTAAACCATACAAAATATTTTCCTCAGAATGAACAGTATTACACTAATCAAAAGGCCATCATTTTTTTCATGGAAGTCCCTCATTGTATAAACATATAAATTTATGATGAAGTCAATCAGAATTTGCTGGTACATCCTTCATCTACGTTCATAGTAAGTTTTAGTTCTTTAGTACATTTTATAGTGCTTAATTGTCCAAGTAATCATTTCTATTATTCATCATGTACTATCTTCTATTTCTATGATATGGTCTTTCCAATCAGAAAGAATCATCATTACAATTACTGAAGAATAAATAAAAATCCGAGGAACTTAATGTCAAAGAATTGTACAGCTCTGAAATTTAATCTCTATCTCATCTGGGAGGGTCTCTTTTGAAATTTGGAAAATTTACACTGAACAAATTTGGAGTTTTGGTCAGAAATAGCTTTCCCTAAATACCATAAAAAACTTATTTTAGTGCAGACTAATTTATATAAGTCTTTTATACAAAATAAAAAGATATTTTAACCTTTATGCCCAGTTTTCTCTCTTTAAGAGGCATAAATTAGATTTGCTTTTCAATTGCCTGAGACATAATTAATAAAACTGGCACTAGATGACTTATAATGATGAAAACCTTAAAGGCAATAACCTCTGTCAGATTAAAACGTCAAGAAAAGGGGAACAAAGGCAAAAGAATAATCTCTATTCAATAAAGTAAAAAAAAAAAAAAGCATTAAATCAGCGAACAGATCAAAAAGGACTTTATATTTTAAAGAGAGAGAAAAACCAAAACAAAAATGAAAGACAACAGCTTAAACTTACTGGGTTATCTGTGGAATCATCAGCAAACTGTAAACCAAAATAGTCTTGTTCAGTCAAATCAAGATGCTTGAAGACTATATCCAACAGAACTTGCCCCTGAGCATGTTTCTGGAAGAAAGATAAGATGAAATCAACTTTGATAGGCTATATACTTTATGGCTTTTTAATCTGGTGACTTTGGCAACTGCTTCCACTCAAATGACTTGGTTGAGAATAAAGACTTTACATGTTACACAGTATTTTTAAAGAACAATCTGACCTTAGGCCAACTGGTTTAGAGAGTACATAATAAACGTGAAGATATAAAGAAACATTTAATTAAAAATGCTTTCCACTTTCTGGCTATTATCACAGTATTTTTGTTATTTCATATTGTTGCCACATTAACTCATGTGTATATCCATATCATTTTCTTATGCCTTTTACTCTTATATTTAAATTATGACTGGAAAGTGACATTTGACTAAATACAATTTAAAATACAATTTTGTGTAAAATAAATAATGCTTCGAAAAAGGAAACAGATATGGTAAAATTTTTGTAGCAAACTTGATAAAGGACTAATATTTTCATCACAAAAGTACACAGAGACCTTTAGAAAAGTATCTCATTTTAACCTCACACTAATTCTAACATGCAGATATTATTATCCCTCATTTTAGTAAGAGTAAATAAAACTTCCCCAAGTTCCACAGCTACTAAACTGTGGTACAAAAGGCTTGATTAGATAATTGCCTAAAAAAGAAAAATAACTAATGAATAAAAACACAGAGAAATGATCAATATGTTCAGCAAATAATCCAAAAAAATCCAGTGTGTAAGATAAAAAATACTTATTGCTGCTAACATTGTAGATAGATACCTGTTGGGAAAGCAATTTGAGCAAACAAGAGCAATAATAACATCAACTACTCTAGCATCCTAACCTAAGTATTAATAGCAAATAAAATCCAACTTGTGGGAAACAGCTATACATACCAATATGTTCACTGCAGAGATTTATTTTTGATGCATTTATGTGAGACATATATTAGAAAAACATGTTCTATGGTTTGCGTTTGTCCCCCAGAATTCATGTGTTGAAAATTTGGTCATCGCAGTGTTGAGAATGGGTGACTTTGAGAGGTGTTTAGGTTGTTAAGATGGACTAGGTTAATTTTTTTTTTTAAAGAGGTCTTGCTACATTGCTCAGGCTGGCCTCACATTCCTGCTCCTGGGCTCAAGCAATCCTCCCGCCTCAGCCTCTCAGGTAGCTGGGACTATAGGCATGCATTATTCCACCGAGCAAGACTAGGTTAATTCTCTAGGGAGTAAATTCTTACTATCTCAGGACTAGATTAGTTATTGCAAGCAGGTGGTTCTAAAGTAAGGCCGCCCTTACTTTTATCCCTGTCACATGCACCCACTTCCCCTTCTGCTTCTTTACCACGTCATGAGACAAGACACCCTCATCAGAAGCCAACTAGATGTGGCCACCCAATCTTGGACTTCTAGCCAAAATAAATCTTTCTTTATAAATTACCCAGTTTCAGGTACTCTGTTACAGCAACAGAAAATGGACTAAGAAAACATGGTAGAGACTAGTGATATATTTTACCACCAAATTTTCCTCTCATTAGCTACAACAATATATAAGCTTCCTGCTATGATTCAGAGCTGAAACAATAATTTCATATAATTTAAAGCATAAGAGGCATCAAAGATGCCAGAGCTAGCTAATGTGACAAATGAAAGACATAATTAAGGACCACGTTTCTTTCCATCTCTCTCATCTGCATCTCACATGTTGGCTGTATTTGTGGGCCGCTAGCAAGATGGTCATAGCAATTCCAGCATTCATACCAGTACATGACAATGTTCAAAAAAAAACCCTTCTTTGTAAAAGTTACCTTACCTTACAAGCTCTTTGTAAAAGAGCTTCCCATCACACCCTACTGGCCAGAACTGGGTCAAACGGCTATTTGCAAAACTCATCAATGGCAGGAAGTTATGTGCTTCAAACCATGCTTCTCAATGTTGGTCCCCATTCAAATCACCTGCAAATATCTTTTATATTGATGCAAGCCCCTCCCCCATCCCTATCTCATTCTGATTAAACTGGTCTGGGGAGGAGACCAAGTTTTAGTCTTTTAAAAAAGCTCCTGAGTCTAATATACTCTTATAGAGACAAAATGGAGTGGATTCACTTTTTGCTATACACTTCCAGTGAAGGACAACTACAAATTCTAGAAATATGAGAACAGATAAAAATTTTTAAAACTCTGAAAGGTGGAAAGAAGGTAGAGGCCTGCCTACAGACTTCTTTGAGTTTTCTTTTTATTGAGGTAGAATTCATGCACTATAAAAGTAAACATTTTAAAGTATACAATTCAGTGGCATTTAATACATTCACAATGTTGTGCAATCATCACCCCTAGGTAGTTCCAAAACATTTTCATCACACCAAAAGGAATCTCATACCCATTAAAGTACAGGTGACCCTTGAACAACATGGGTTTGAACTGCATGTGTCCACTTAAATGTGAATTTTTTCCAATAAATATAGTTGGCTCTCTGTATCCTCAGGCTCTGCATCTGCAACCAAATGCACTCATCTGTCAGATGCAAAACCTAGGATACCCAGGACCGAATTTCTGTATACTCAGGTTCCCAGAACCAATCCCCCGAGGACACCAAGTGACAAATGTAATACCCATTAACCCCTCCCTCAGGCCCACTGATCTACGTTCATATCGCATATAAACTGGAACCACACAATATGTGACCTTTTGTGTCTGGCTTCTTTGACTTAGCATAATGTTTTCAAGGTTCACCCAAGTTGTAGCATGTATTAGTACCTCATTCCTCTTTAAGGCTATTTCATTGTATGAATACACCACATTTTATCAGTTGATGAACATTTAAGTGGCTTCTACCTTTTGGCTCCTGTGAATAACGCTGCCATGAACACTGGTGTATAAGTAGCTGTTTGAGTCCCTGCTTTCTTTTTTTTTTTTTTTTAAATACCTTAGAGTTTTAATTGCCCTTCCCTCAATAAGAGAAAAACTGCATGGCTGGAATTAACAGCTCTATCTTGACTTTTGCAGAAATGTACAGTTGGCAAAACACTTTCCAATACACAATCTTGTTTAATCTTCACGACGGTGCTGTTTGATGAGGAGGAACAGGGCCACTTAGGGCTTTGCCCAGGGTTATACCTGCTTTCAATTCTTTTGGATGTGTATACAGAAGTGGAATTGCTGCATAATATGGCAATTCTATGCAATTTGATGTTTAACTTTTAAAGTAATCACCAAAACTCTTTTCCACGGCAGCTGCACTATTTTACATTCCCACCAGAATCACACGAAGGTTCCAATTTCTCCATATCCATGCCATCATGTTACTTTCTATTTTTTTAATTAAAGCCGCTTCAGTGGGTGGGAAGTAGTACTTCACTGCGGTTTTGATTTGTATCTCCATAATCACTAATGATGTTGAGAGTTTTTTCACGTGTGTTGCCCATTTATATCTTTAGAGAAATGTGTAATTAAGTCCTTTGCCCATTTTTAATCAGGTTGTTTATCTTTTTGTTGTTGCATTCTAAGAGTTCTTCACATATTTTGAATATTAGACACTTATCAGATATATGATTTGCATATATTTTCTCCCATTCTATAGGTTGTCTTTTCACTTTCTTGATAGTATCCTTTGATACACAAGAGTTTTAAATTTGATTAAGCCCAATTTATTATTTTTCTTTTGTTGTTTATGCTTTTGATGTCACATCTAAGAACTCATTGCCAAATCCGAGGTCATAAAGACTCACCCCTACCTATATCTTCTTCCAAAAGTTTTATAGTTTTAGCTCTTACATCTAAGTCTTTCATCCTTTTTTGAGTCTGTTTTTATATATGGTAGGTATATAGTTAGGTAGGGAAGCAATTTCATTCTTCTGCATGTGGCTATACTTGTCCAAGCATCTTTTGTTGAAGAAACTATACTCTCCCCATTGAATGTTAGCAACTTCGTCAAAAATCAATCAACACTCATGCCTATCATCTTAGTACTTTAGGAGGCTAAGGCAGGAGGATGGCTTGAGGCCAGGTGTTCAAAACAAGCTTGGGCAACATAGTGAGATCCTGTCTCTACAAAAAAAAAAAAAAATTTTAAAAAAGAAAATCAATTGACCCCATGGGTTTATTTCTGGACTCTATACTTTGGGTTTTCTTTTCACCTCCCATATATCATAGACTTGGTATTGGGGAATCCTGTAACACAGAAATGCCAACAGGTGCTGACAAAAAGAGCCCAAGAAAAGCAGCCTTCTTTGGAAAAGGACTGGGTAGCTGGTAGGACAGAAATCTCGCCAACGCCAAACCCAGTGGAAAAAACTGAGCCCTTCTCTAGTAAGCATTCTTGGAAATCAAGTAGGAAGCCTGGCCTGGCCTTCTACCCCCTTCCAAGTTGTACAAAGTAGTGCTTCATAATAGCTCCTCTAGGGTGGTTCTGAACTTCCACTTAGGCTTGTTGGTAGTAAGCAGTGCTTGGCTTCCCTCACTGAGTTGATGTTAGCAGAAGCTGAAGGGGGAGCCTGGACTTTCACCACCACCACTACACAGCTATAGCATGTGCTGTCTCCCAAACAGAGAAGAAGATGATTTGGGAGAAGAGGGAGATGGAAAAAGAGATTGTTAAAAGTTGAAATGAATTCCTAGACAGACACCCACAACAAACTACTTGGGAAACTGACCAAAATTAACAGGGCAAAAGGTATAAAAACTTAACTACAGTGTGGAATACATTCATAGTTTTCAGATAGATCTCCAGATAACTACACACATAGGAGACCAGAACAACACTGAAAAGGTGCTAGAAACCAAATTGTCATTAGAATCAGAGACCACGAAAGTAGGCCAGGACCTATATGCTACCAGGGTGACTCCCTGCTACAAAGAAAATTAACTACAATCCAAAGTTCCATGACATAATGCCCCAAATGTCCAAGACACTACCTAAAATCACTTATACCAAGAACTAGGAAAATCTTAACTAGAGAAAGGAATGACAACCAACAGATGCCAACACTGAGATGACTCAGATGTTGGAATTATCTGACAAAGATCTGG